CATGACCATATTAGACCCCCTTGTTCACGTGCAAAGTTTTAGGAGTTTTGTTTGTTTTCACCACTTATCTCAAATCATTTCATTCTATATAACATCTAACATTTGTACCAATATCTCAACCCTATCCCCTTTCCTCACTTGAAAAAAAAAATGGATTTCTCCAAAAAAACATCTCTTCTTTTCATCTCTATACTTCTCATAATTTCTTCAATCACTCCCATTCTTGGTTGTAACCATTGCAAAAAACACAAGAAACCCAAAACTACTCCCAATATTCCACCTATTAATAATATTCCATCACCACCAAAAGAGACTACTACTTGCCCTATTGATACACTTAAACTTGGAGCTTGTGTTGATCTTCTTGGTGGGCTAGTTCATATTGGGATTGGTAATCCTGTTATTAATGAATGTTGTCCAATTATTCAAGGGCTTGTGGAAATTGAAGCTGCAGTTTGTCTTTGTACAACTCTTAAGCTTAAGCTTCTAAATCTTAATCTTTATGTCCCTTTGGCACTTCAACTCCTTCTAACTTGTGGCAAGACTCCACCTCCTGGCTACACTTGCTCTTTGTAGACTTTTTGAGTTAAGTATGCAATTTCTTGTACTACCCCTTTAACCTTTATATATCTCTAGCTCGCATTTTTTTTTTATATTAGTGGTATTGGGGCCGGTTTACGTGTACTGACTTTTTCAGTGGATATCTGCTACCTCTTACTAGTATGATATCAGAAACTTTGCTCACCAAGAATTAGATCTTGAGGCCTCCTGATTTTTCTCCCGCTTCATTGACTATTAAGACGCACACTAGCTTGCATCATAAATACGTTTTGGTTTATGTAGAAACATTTAGTATGGATTGATAGTGTTGTACCTCGATTTGATGCAACACATGAAGAGGTGTAGCTACATGGTCCAAAGAAAGTTCAATTAAATATCTTTTATCAGAAAAATCTACTGTGACATGGGTAAATGAATTTATTTTAATTATTTATGTCTAAATCGTTGAATCCTCTTGACAGAAGAGTATTGTAGTTTTGAAACTCAAGGCTCTGGGAGATTAGCTAGGACAAATATTTTGATTGTATTTTCTAGCAATGTGAGTTATTGTTTTAGCTGTTGTTGACTAGTAAACGAAAATAATTCATATTTAATTTAGGTTTATTTATTATATATATTTAGAAAGGCGGTTAAGCTCATTTTAGTCATAAATTATTCTGAAATTGCAGGTTACAAGCTAAGGTTTGCACTTTGGAGTATTGTATGGACTATGTTCGACATGAGATGATGTTTTAGTTTCTGATTAAAATTGTTTTCACTTTCCAACAACCCCCACACCAAATTGTATCTCGTGATCGGTACTACT